TCATCCAATGTACCTACCATTTGAATAATATACCTACTACGAATAAAGTACCTATTATTTATCTAAATAATGTACCTATTTTTTACTATAAATAATATAGCCTTTTTTCTCTGAATAAAGTACCTATTATTTGTTTTATCAAACGTAATTTTTTTAAATGAACCTATTTTCTCTCTCCAAATAACTTACCAATTTTTTTCCTCTAATAATGTACCTATCTTTCCTCTTCAAATAATGTACCTATATTTTATATAAATTATTGTGTACCTATTTTTAATTATGAAAAATATACGCAATTACAAAGTAACTGACTTTTTTTTTTTTGGGGTAAATAATATACCTATATTTTATATGTATATATTTATATTATATTTTTCATAGGTACATTATTGGATATGTAATTTACAGTTTTTTTTTTTTTTTGTTTGCAATTTTAGTGGGCGAGATGTGAGGGGGAATGACAACTAAAAGAAATGGGGTGATTGATATGCTATTAATAGGGAGTATATTAATTACAATTATGGCAGTTAATGAAATGCTTGAAATAAATTATAAATAAAATATGAAGTTTAGTGGCAACGATGTAAAAACATAGAAATACTACGACCTCTTATATCCTACTGGTCATTTAAATTTGAATTTGGGTTTTCAACGTAGTTATATAGATAGATGGGTTTGTGTCTAGGGGATATCAGTTGTATGGGCTTATATTGGAGTCTCTCTATTTTATTTGTGTGCTACACCCTAAATGATGACAATGAAGTAAATGAATTTCTCATCTAGGGTTTAGCGGCTAGTTGATGACAATGGTGTTTAGCGGTTAGTAGCTACCAGCTAGCCGCTAAACCCTAGATGGGCAATTCATTTACTTCATTGTCATCATTTAAAGTTTTTATTTACTTTTTTTATGTAAAAAAATTAAATATAAGTGGTCAGAAAAAATATATGGGTGTCCGTAGAAATACAATCACTCACTCGAAAGTTTAAAACTACCACTTGATAAAAGAAAAAAAAACAAGGAAGAAAAGGTAAAACTTCTAGCCGAAGCCCAAAGAAGGACTCGGGTCAGGTATATCCGTTCTCAACCCGGTTGGGACCCGAAGCGGGATGGATAAAGCGGGTCAGGCTCGTAACGGACAAATGAAACGGTTTTTGGCTTGGTTCGCGGAACCGCGGGGAAGCACGAGACGGTGGGCCGTTTGAAGTGAATTGAATATCTCTCTTCCCCCTCCTCTCTCTCTCATTGGGAAACTGGGAAATCAAAAGCCCTAGAGGACTACGAACCAAATTCATCTTCAAATTGTTGAATTCGAAGTCACTAGGTGAGTCCTCAATCTCAATGCTCTATGAATCGCAATGTCGCAGTTAATTGCTTGCGTATCTGATTTTTGGAATCTCTTAGCTGAAATTTTGTTCTCACTACTGGCTAGTGGAGATTGTGAATTGGTAATCAGGTTGAGGACCTACCTACCCATTGAAAAACATGCATTGCCTATTTGATTTTTCTCGGTTTAAATGTGGAAAATGGATAAAAATAATTTGTATGTGTTTTCTGAATTTTAGTTTTCTATCTGGTGTTGTTGGATTTTGAATTGGTCATATGTGTTGGCAGAAAACTCATGCATTGCTGTTTCTCACCTTTAGCTGTTGTTCAGTTTATTACCTGCAGGAGCTTGTACCCAAGTGTGTGAGGCTGGCTCACTTGTTTCATGTTTGATGTAGCAGTAGTCATTTTGATTTGGCTATAAGATTTAGCTATAAGGAATTGCTTTCTGCTTTTTGAAACCAAACCAAATTCTCATTTGAAGCAATAAGTTTCTAGAATCTGTTATACACATGAACTTATTTGATGACTGCAAAGACCTGTACTAGTTTCCTGGATGATCAAATTGACTATTTTCAGCATGAAATGCTTGCTAAATATGCATCTCTAACCCGAATGTAGCGCAATGCGCTGCGACTTAACCCACAGAGCTTACTATTGAATGAAAAGCAAGATATCCTCTTTTTATTTTTCCTCTATTGGTCTACTATATGGAGTTCCTCCTATTATGTGTACTGTTGTAGCAGATTGTGTGCTCATATTAAATTTCGAGACTTAGAGATAGTTGAGCTTATTTCAGAATCATTCACTAGTTGCGGTTGGTGTCCATATTCCTGCCACATACCTGCCAAATTGGTTGCATGTTCATACTTGTGAATGAATCCCATTTTCAATGTGAGTATATATATGGCTGCTCCACTTGCGTAGAAATTCATTATTGTAGGTAGCATTTGGCTTGCAAACATTGTATTTTCCTTTCTTACCACATTTTGGTTCTGGAAAATCGGCATTTGTGCTGCCCGGTGGAAAGTCAATGTCAGCTAGTGCTTGTATATTGACCAAAACAAGAGCTTCAGCTTATGTACGATTCCTGATGGTGCTTGTCTTACTAACATTTGCAGTATTGAATAGTTGGACCATGGACCATGATAGTTGAAATGATTTGGGATTAGTTATAGCCTTTCTGATCACACACAAAAAGATCCTGAATCCTGATTGGTGAATAGATATTTTGCAGATCTTGTTTTTACTCTTCAACCATGGCTCTATAGAACTCTTCCTTTACCTTTTTCACTCTAATGAATTTTAATTCTGTAGATAATGTAATTAACATAGACTGGCTCCAACCTCTATACGTTGTAACACCCCCCCGGCAGCCATCCATTTGGGTGTACTTCCGGGAGCCACCGTTAGAAGGATGTAAATGGAACTTAGACTGCTGCATTCTGATTTCGGAGCATTCATAAAGGAAACTCCCTTTCATAATCTGTTATTTGACTGATGGAATCAGGTGAACATAATTAAAATAGATGCAGGTTTGGGGGGTGTTTGAAATTTTCTCCCATGACGGCTATAACAACCCTGTTTGTTTAGCATAATAATCAAATTTAGAAATGCTAAAACCAGCGTACTAGTTTGAATTTGATTTGAGAAGATAATTGCTTATTCAAAAATCAAAACTTATAATTACTTGTTGGAGATCAAAACTTATAATTGCTTATTCAAAAACCAAACTACACACGAATAAGTTTGTGCCCTTTTTGACTTTCATGTTGCGTCTCCAAAACTTGTAATCTAGTTAATTTTTCATCAGCAATTTTTCCTCCTCTCGTGATGGGTTTTCTGATTTTTCCTTGTGAGAAATTGCCACCAACTAACGTACTTCATAAATTGACGAAGATGCTTAAAATTCCATTAACTTTTCGCATTGATTCTCAAGAAGTAGTGTTTCCTTGTTAAAAGCAGGTTACTGGTTTGAACATTGTAGCGTATTTTCAAGCTGAATACCAAGTACCAGAACCAATGGCACAAGACTGATCCTGAATTACCAAATTCTTGGTACAACGGAAGTTCTAAATCCAATTACGCATATAGGCACAATGACAAAGAATGATAAATTTAAGAGACCACTTTGCTTTTGATTGAATCAATTGACCCCCCGTGAGCCCTTGTTCTGATGAAGATTCAACCTACTCTTAGCCTCTTGTAACAATGTGCGCAGTGTGTCTTCTTTGGACAAATAACATCCATTGATTTCCCATGCAAGCATCGGGACCAACCCAGCCTGGTAAAGTTCTTCCCAGTCTGGTACATGTGATGGAATGTTGCACAGCAATCTGTCCAGCTCTTTATATACGGTCATAAAAGATAGCTTGGATGCCCACGTTAGCGCTGCAAGCACCTCAGCTTGGGCAAGCTCTTCGTCGTCTGGTACGTGCAGTGCAATATAGCAGATGAGAACCAACGCATATTCAGCTTTCTTATCATACAAAATCTGGATTAAGTGTTTAACACCTCCAGCGCTTATTATTTATTGCCTTGGAATGTTCAATGTGAAAATAGTTATCTGTCCGAGCTAATTTTGCGAGGGCAATGCAAGCCTCCTTGGTAACATAAAATTCTCTTCCATTGAGAAGCTGCACCAATGGGCCAATCATTCTTGTCTCTATTGACCCAAATGTCCTTGCCAAATTCTCAATAGCATGGATGCATGAGATCTGGAAGTGTGAGTCTTCTGTCTTCTCGGTGATCTTCAGCAATAATTGATCAACAACATATTTCCAAGTGGGGGAATTAGGACTGAAGTCACATCTTATTCTCAAATCAGCATCTTTCTCTGCCACTTCCTTGATCGCCATTAATGCATCGACAGAATATAATTGAGCATTTTCACAACCTTTTTCCAGAAGTACTGCAAAACTATATAGTGCTGTTGATTCTGAGAGGATACGGCAAATGGCTGAGTTATCCTCGGCTAGTCTGAAAAGGGCTCTGGCTGCCATCGCTTTCATTTGCGCTACGGTGTCCGGGTCTTCATTGGCATTGGCATTGTCATTGCTATGGGTTTTGCTGCTCTGCACTCCAACAGTTTCGAATGCAAGATGGCCGACAAGCAAGCGGACAACATCGTGCTCTGCAAAAGCATCTTGCCATTTGGGGTTTCTTTCTGCGATCAGTGACACCGCGAAGGCCACCTCAGCCTGAACTTTCATGAAACCTTCACTGAGGATTTTCGCAAACACTTTACATACATCGACACTTATCCCGGCACATTCCGAGGACCATCCCACAAACCCCAGGGCATTGGCAGCGCTCTGTTTGGCTTCCATTGGACTCTCCTCCATCAATTTCAACAAGGCCTCGACTCCACATTCCCGGACGATCAACTTCCTGTACACGTCGTCCCTGGCCATATCACCGAGTGAAGCTGCAGCACTAGATCGAGCTTGGTAGGATTCAGCCGGGTCATGAAGAATTGCAATCTCTTCCCAAACGAGACACAGCATGGGGTTGTTTGATTTTATTCGGGGCAGAGACACTTCAAATCTCCCGTTCGTCTTGTTCCTCCAAAAATGGATCAGCCAAGACATGTCGTTGATTGAAGCGTCAAGAAGCCTCGACGTTTTACAGAACGAAACAAAGGGGATGAGGGTGGGGAAACGCTTCTTGATGATCTTGATGATGATCCATTTGGGACAATGATGCTTGAGCAGCCGGAACAGACACCTATCGAGGCTTTGTTCTACGCTGTCGATGATCGCACGTACGGGGCGATCGTAGGTGCCGAGGTCGATGCTGCTGAGTTGGCGGAGAAGCCCCGCCAGCTGTTCAGCCTTGGATTTGAGCTCGGGGATGAAGCTCTTGTCCGTGGATCTCACCACGGCCCTGTCCAAAGCCTTTGCGACTTGGTCAGCCAGTTGGATGGCCCTGCCCAATGTTTGCTTCACCATCTCTGCTCTGCTCTGCAATTTCAAATAGGAAGTTTTGTAGGTTCTCTTCTCAGTCAGATTATCAGTCCACTATCTCCATAACAACCCAATGATTTCTCATTTTCTCAATGAGAGAGAGAGGGCAGAGAAAAAGAAAACAAATTTCAAATCAAACGGCCATTTTGTTCTTCCCCGCAAAAAAAGCCAAAAATGGTGTTAGAGCCTGACCCGCTCTGTCGCGCGTGCTTGTATTTAGGAGCGCTTTTATTGGCAGTATACAATACAAGCTCTTTTATGTTAAAAGCTTTTTCTTTTTGGTCGAATATGCTAAAGCCTATTAAACAATTTTTGTGTAGGTCGGTGGTGTTCTATTCTGCCTCAGTACTTTGGTCTCTTTTTTTTAGCTGAACTGACCAAAGTACTGAGGCATTGTGGGTTTCATTTGCTTCAAACCACGTCTTCTCGTATCACATGAGATTATAACCATTCAATTTGACGTTTCTTTTTAATTAGATTGGGTTATCTTTTTTTAATTTCTTATATGTAGGTAAGCTCCACACATTTTTTTGAAAAAATCTAAAATGATTTACCTCAAAAATCTTACTGATTATTTTACAAAACGTACTTGTGGGATTATATTGCAGTAATGAGCCTTAACATGTAAGATACACTATAATGGTTTCTTCAATGAAATACTCTTCTTGCTCGCATTGTGTTTTTAGGATTTAGATTTTCTTTGTTGGTCCCTCATATACATAGGCGTCAAGGATCATCATGTATTTGTATTGTATTGATTGCATGAATCTCTATTTGCCTAGTCTAGACATTCCCTTTTATTGTTTGTCTTTGTTATTCATTTTGTGTTCATCATTGCAACAAGAAAGGAAAAAAAAAAAAAAAAAGGAAAAAAACTACAACACATAGAATAAGAATAAAATAAAAATATATCATATGTTGATTTAAACTTATTAAACACTAGTCTCTTCGTACGTTCTTCCGCACTTGATAGAGGTTTTTTTAAAAAAAATTTATTTTAGAATTGAAAAAAGATAATGAGTAGTTATGTTCTATAAAAATAGGATTCATTATCTGATTTTTCTTTTAATTTTAATTTTTTTAAATATGAAAAAAGTGTGAATTTACCATATTATACTCATTTAATTAATAATTTCAATTCTTAATGTGAATTTACCATATTATACTCATTTAATTAATAATTTCAATTCTTAATGTTTGCATTAACCAATGACATTTTATGGTATTTCAAAAGTAGATTTAGTATGCTGAAGCTTATTAAACCTTAGTATTAATTATCCTTCGACAATAATAACCAACCGTAAAATCATTTTATATTTTATTAATTCCAATTTGTATTGAATGTTTATATTGTAGCAATACAATTTAATTTTATGTGACCAAAGTCACTATAATCTTTTGAGGGGTGTCTCAATCTAATGTCTACACACCCTTGAACAATACTTTGGTTAATAATACTATTGCACTGTTATTGTGTCAAAAATAAAACTAAGATAGTGTCCTCCTAAGGGGTAGAGTGAGAGTCATACATTACACAAAAGACTTATCCTCACATCTGCCACTGCATTGGCCTTCAAATCTCTACCACCAATCTATAATCCAGAACCAACCAAAAAATATCCCATTTTCACAAATTTTCTCAATCTTCACTACGACCCCATAAAACATCACACTTTACTTCTCTTTATCTCTTCTTCCCTATTATTCTTCTTCTTCTGCAGCATTAACACGACAACCATGGCTGCAGCTGTAACTGCTGCTGTCTCATTCCCATCCTCCAAGTCCTCCTCTCTTCCCAGCAGGACCTCTATAATCTCACCTGATAGAATCACCCTCAAGAAGGTAAAACTTTCAGTCCTGGTAATTAATTATTTTGATTTACATTAGCACTATCATGGGGTTTAATTTGATTTCTTGGGTTTTTTTTTAAGGACATGGGTTGTTGGTTTTTCAGGTTCCTTTGTACTACAGAGATGCCTCTGCTAGTGGGAGAGTGGTTTCCATCAGAGCCCAGGTCACCACCACTGAGGCTGCTCCTCCTGCTAAGGTTGTGAAGGAATCCAAGAAGCAAGATGAAGGTGTGGTTGTTAACAAATACAAGCCCAAAAATCCCTACACTGCCAGAGTCCTTCTCAACACTAAGATCACTGGTGATGATGCTCCTGGAGAAACCTGGCACATGGTCTTTAGCACTGAGGGTATGATCAAGTCTTAATAATCCCTTCTTTTTTCTTTAATCCTTCTTGTGTTAACTATTGGTTGATATATTAAAATATTGAACTCATTCAGCTAACTGCTTTGTTGGGTTGCTTGTAGGAGAGATTCCCTACAGAGAAGGGCAGTCCATTGGAGTAATTCCAGATGGTATTGACAAGAATGGGAAGCCTCACAAGCTGAGGTTGTATTCAATTGCCAGTAGTGCACTTGGTGACTTTGGAGACTCCAAAACTGTGAGTTTTTGTACTGTACCAATTACATGTACAACCAATTGGATTTTTGTTATTATTATTATTTTTTGCTCAGGTTGGTTGCCAAATTTGCTATGAATCTGCTGGCATTTTAAACATACAATGTGGCAATTTTAGGCAATTCGTAAACATGCTCCATTGCTACCCAATTTGTCATTTGTTAATTAAGATATAATTGGTGGTTTGGTTTGATTGCCTCCAACCAGGTTTCTCTGTGTGTGAAACGGCTTGTGTACACCAATGACCAAGGAGAAATTGTTAAAGGAGTGTGTTCAAACTTTTTGTGTAAGGACACATACCTCTTAGTTCTATAAAATTATTTCATTGAGGTTTTTTGATTGAGAATAAAGACTTAGGCTGTATGCTGTTTCGTGTCTTATGAGAAACGATTTATTTGTGGTAGTAAATTAGTATTCTAGTATAAATAGACAGGCCAGTGCATGTTGGTATAAGTTTTCTCTATTTCAGGTGACTTGAAGCCAGGGAGTGAAGTCACGGTCACAGGACCAGTTGGGAAAGAAATGCTTATGCCAAAAGATCCAAATGCAACCATCGTCATGGTATAAATACTTACCATATGTTATTTTCAGGAAGCAAACTGGATAATCGAATGTTTAACCCTCCGTGAATAGTACTGGTTTACAGAATTTCTTTGCTGATGCAGCTTGCAACCGGAACTGGAATTGCTCCTTTCAGATCATTCTTGTGGAAAATGTTTTTTGAGAAGCATGAAGACTACAAGGTAAACATTACTACTTCTTGGTTTTTTCTTCGGACACTTTTATGACATGAAATAATCAGCTCACAACATGAATACAAAGAAAATCCCATATTAATCTTAAAAAGAAGATAACAATGTGGTAGTTTTACAGAGGCTTTTCTCAATGAAAGCCCTCATAAAACAATCTCCTCAAGTGCCTATATGGCTGGTGAATCCTTATTTCTTCCTTGATTAGCTCTTCGTCTAAAGAGTGATCAAATTCTGACATGACATGCAGTTCAATGGTTTGGCATGGCTCTTCTTGGGTGTTCCCACAAGTAGCTCACTGCTTTACAAGGAGGTGAGCATGTTCAAAGTTCCTTCACTTCACTTATCAGTCACTTCATTTTTCTTTCTCAAGAATCATATGATTTAAACAATTTGAATTCATAAGAGATTATTGTGGAACACAGGAATTTGAGAAAATGGAAGAGAAGGCCCCCGAAAACTTCAGGCTTGACTTCGCTGTCAGCAGAGAGCAAACCAACGAGAAGGGCGAGAAGATGTACATTCAAACCAGAATGGCTCAGTATGCAGAAGAGCTATGGGAGTTGCTCAAGAAAGACAACACCTACATCTACATGTGTGGTCTCAAGGGAATGGAGAAGGGAATTGATGACATCATGGTGTCATTGGCTGCTAAAGATGGTAACAAGATAGAATAAAATTGCTGAGACTTTCATGGAAGATCTCTATATCATGTGCCTCCAAGGACCAATGTGTTTGTGTTTGATATATTTTGCAGGCATTGACTGGACAGACTACAAGAAGAAGTTGAAGAAAGCAGAGCAATGGAATGTGGAAGTCTACTAATTTCTGGTCACTTTGTACAAATCTCTCTCTCTCTCTCTCTCTCCCCTCTTCTTTACTTAAAAGTTTAAACAGAAATTCTTGAATGATTTCCACTGCAGTGTGTAGATAGGTAAAGTCCTTGCAAATTTTCTGTAATTTTTTTTTTTGGCCATATTAATGAAGCTGTTGTATTATACTATAATTATGGTCCCCAAGAATTTTATTTCTGAGGGTCGAATTTTACACTCTAGTGGAAGCCTGTTTCAACTTCTACACTCTAAATTGCGTTACTGATCAGAAGAGAGCGCTATGAAGATAAAATTGCCATGGTTTGTGTTTGATATATGGTAACAAGAAGATAAAATTGCCTTCCTTATTTAAGTAGAAAAATTCATATGATTCCTATGATATCGTCCTTTGCTTCACACTAGCGGCCATGATATTTCATAGCAGTTAGGAAATAGTCACGCCAATGGCCTTGTGGTTACGTCTTGTTCTCTCATTTGACACTATAACAATATTTTAAAAAAAAACAAGAAGGTTTGTAACATGAACTTCTTTTATTTTTCATAAATCAAACTTATCACCGTATAGCCTAATCTAAATTATTATAATTGTAATATGAATTTTGTTAAGATCAATCGGCCGCATTAGAGTTTTTACAAAATCGCTAACGCATACTCGTGGTATCCTCTAAATACATTGATTGATAAATAAGTTCTTAGGATTCTATATCACGTTAACTTGAGTAAGAAGGAGTAATAATTAGTTAACGTAATAACAAATTCATGTCAAATTTGCTCAACGCGTACTTTGTTATTTGATTTATTTCATAATAATAGTTTCAGGAAAAAATACAAAAAAATAGTAGGAGCAGGGTTTCTTAGAATGCACCCAAAGAGTAGCAGATCCGAGCTCTAAAAACCGTAAAGGTAAAGGGAAAATCAAAAGCCCAGTGCAAATAGAATCGGGCTGGAGGCAGATTAGGGTTTTGTTTATATATTTTAATTAAACTATAATTCTCGAAGATTGTCTTAGCTATTGCCTTCACTGTTCTTTCCTATATAAAGACGAACACTCTCTCGCATAAATCAACATAAAAAATTTAACCTTTTCTCTCTGTCGGGGAATTTCAACAACCATGGCGGAGGAGAGATCGACTGGGAAGGTCCGGTGGTTCAACGACACCAAGGGCTTTGGCTTCATCACCCCCGATATCGAAAGCGAAGATCTGTTCGTTCATCAGTCCTCCATCAGATCCGACGGCTTCCGCAGTGTGGCGGAGGGCGAGTCTGTCGAGTTCCAAATCGCCGTCGGCGAGGACGGCAAGACCAAAGCCATCGACGTCACTGGTCCTAACGGCGCGCCGTTGCAGGGTAACAGGAAGGAGAGCTTCGGCCGCTCCGGTGGTCGCGGTGGCGGTTCTGGATTTGGAGGTGGATGGAGAGGCGGAGATAGGCGGAATGGAGGCGGTGCCGGTGGCGCTTCGTGCTATAACTGCGGCGAGCCCGGCCACATGGCTAGGGATTGCAATCGCGGCGCTGGGGGCGGTGGCGGTAGCGGTGGTGGTTGCTTTTCTTGCGGTGGCTATGGCCACGTGGCGAGGGTCTGCCCTAATGGGACTGGCGGCGGTGTCGGTGGTGGCGGGGGGGACTGTCACAAGGGTGGGGGGGTTTGGGGCGTGGGGACATGGCGAGAGATTGCAGCACAGGTGGCCGCGGAGGCGGCGGCGGCGGTCGTGGCCGGGGATATGGATTCAGTGCTGGATCAGGTGGCAATGGTTGTTATAACTGTGGGCAGGCTGGTCATTTTGCTAAGGAGTGCCCTACTGCTTGAAGAAAAATAAAATAAAAAGAGAGTAATAGTAAATATTCTCTTTAGAAATCCTTTATCTTTTTGTTAAATTTTAGTCTTTCTAGTAGTATTTCTTTCTCGATACATATGCTGTTTTGGCAAAAGGGTTTTGATTTTTCTGGTGGATGATAAGAGCCAGTCTTTGTCAAGAAAGTTTTCCCCAGTTCGGCTATAGAGTGAGTTAGTTGCCTTTTTTTATATATAATTATTATCTATATTGTTATCAGTGACTCTCGGATAAGTTATCTAAATGAGCAGCTTTTATTCTGAAGTGTGAATGTATGTTATCTACTGTCTCTATAATTGAATGCGCATTTGGTTGATGATCCTCAAGGAAGTTGAATTAAATCCTCATTTATTGGGGCACTACATGCTCTTGATTTGTTTTTGAAGTGTGAATTTATGATATCTCCTATGCATTGATGCAACTGGTTGATTATGTTGAATTATTTTTGTTGTAGAAGAAGTTGAATAAGATGTCTGCATGACTTTGAATGTAGGCCATAGATTTGTATACCAGTTTATCAGCTTTTTGCAGCCTAGCAAGTGCCACTTGCTTTGCTCATTGTTGTTGATATTGCACTTTGTTTCAGTTTGCTCGTTATTTAATGCATCTTGTTGATATTGAGAGATGGAGGTCTTGTGGACTAAAGATTTTTAGCCATATCCATATGGTCCTCTACATCACCTTAGCTTAGTTTGGGTTTTTGAAAAACAATTTCAGGTGATTCGGTCATTAGGAATGTGGTTAAAAGATTAACCAATTGCTTGTGTGTTAGTAGTTAAAGGACTAGGATTCGTGATGCTCGTAATTGATGCATTGAGTAGCAAAAATTAATTTTGATCCTTATGTGCACAAGTATTCATAAATGATACTGATTTGATTTTTGTTGACTAATGAACTCATATGGGGTAACCATCATCATGATGGATTGGAAGCAACCCTTTTATATGCTCCACAAGGGCCTCAGTTCTCAGTTACATTGTCTGTCCCAGTTTGACTTTAGAATATGTGCTAGCTTCGATGTGCCTTGCTTACCCTGTTATTCACTTTTTGGTTTTTATGTTTGACAAGCATTGAAATTGAAGTTCTAGAATACATTTAGAAGGATCTACACGTATTTAGCATTTGGATTTGATGAACAATGTGTTTTGTGATGCTATGTGTCTGTTGGAATTGGTGATTTTCTGTACAATGTGAAGCTTTTAGAACCCTTGCAATAAAGCTTGGTTTCGGTTTGGTATGGCTCTAGCCAAGAAAGCTTTTTGAACCCTTCCATGTGAAGCTTGAGTCACAATCCTAAGCTCGGCCTTGATGGCATTTGTCTTGTTAGGCTTGCGAGCAAGCACGTTCATTTGTGCTCTGTGTTTTTCTTCTGTAGAAGGGTTGATTAGAGCGTTGCTGCTGCTGCTGCTGCAGCATTTGAATTGTTGCTTATTATTGATCATTCTCTTGTGCCCTGAATATGAATGATCTCCTTCATCCTTATCCCCACAGTGCATGGTAACTGTATAAAATATGCTTATAACTGTAAAGTCTTTTTCTTAGCTTGTGTGCTCAAGACTTTACGTGAAATCGATTTTCTATTTGTCTGCTGATGCCCTAGTTTCATCAAGTAATCTCTGCTCAGTATGCAGTATTAATGGATAATCGGGCGAAGGCCTAGTTTCGGGGATGGGTTCAAATTTTGCTATATAATGAGTAATGAATACCCAGATCGGTAAATCGGGATATAGATTTGGGTAGTGAATAACAAGGGCCCAAACAAATTGCTACCCTAGCTTGGTTCTGATTTTTGGAACTCTTGTCACAGAATCTAGGTACTTGAAATTTTTATTACACATAGGCATTTAAAGATTGTTAAACGTGTGTCTCTTGGTGCAACTAAATGCGAACAAATTTAAATGGAGCAATTTTTTAGTGTTAATTACCTATAGAAACTGCCTGATCTGTCTGCCCATTTGGGTTTTCAATTCTGATGGAGAAGGCTGTTGTCATCTAATTGGATTTTCTGGGTTGACCTCGACTTGTGTTTTGAACCGACCCAAAGAGCATGGGCTGTGTACGACTTGCATTGGTTTGTAATGTTTTTGGGTCTCTGTCGTTTTGGCCCTTGAGGTTTTGAGACGACACTTCCGCCCTTCCATCTGTTGCTTTTACCCCCAAGGCTGGCCTCGGCAGGTCGTCAAGTTGCTTGCTTGTATGATTGTATCATTGTTACGAATGAAAACAACATGGCCGCACTCATTGCCATTAAAATTTATGATTGAAAAATATTTTCCAATTGAGCAATCTTATGAATCTCCCGAGTTAAGACCGGGCTTTCCAAGTCTAGTATTGAAGAAGTGGATCCCTGTCCATGTCAAATTACAAACTATGTGGGCCTGACAGGGATTGTATACCAGCATTTACAACTTAATACAAGTCTTGAACTTAATTTCACCCCCACTTAATTGTGATTTGCCAAAAAGATGACATTCTATCATCTATGCATGGCTCCAAAACTTCGTGTCCTGCAAAACAAGAGATTGCTCTTGTTGTAGGTTGGAGAGGCACTTGGTTAAGTTTTGCCATATTATCTTATTTTCAATTGCGTAAAAATGTGTTTTGCATTGCGCAATCCTATCCTATGTGTACACATAAATTATTATCACGTGAGATTCACATACATCAATGATATACGTATCTAAATGCAAGAAACTTGATTTTTGCACAAGGTTACGTAACCGTGTGTTTTTGCCTGGGCCTAGGAATGGAGACCGGTGTTAGAATGTCTTAAACACGTGGCTGTTCCCTAGTGCATTACTCTGACATAATAGTGTATGGTGGATATTTGCTCCTTCTCAGTGAGGGAAACTTTATTTTTTCAAATCATACACCGAAAGCTCCCGGGGCGGAGCCCTTATCGGATCACTTCCAAATCCAAAGTATATAAATTCGAAGCTGCACTTTCTGAGCTTGGGAATAAGGCGGCATTTATACAAAAACTTCGGAAAATCCCAATAAATAAATAAAAACCACATCGCTTGCATGGCTCCAAAAGCTCTTTTTGATATAATTATGGTCTAAAATATCGATGATATCGAAAATATCGATAGTTCAAAAATATAGAAATTTTAATGGAAATATTGAGATATTATCAATATTGATAAAAATTGAATAAAAACCACGAAAATTGTAAGAAAAACTTGGAAATTTTTATTGAAACTTTGGATAATGTTTATTTAGTCAATTATCTATTAGTTTACTAAAAAAATTTAGAAGAAAATGCATTACATGATGGATTTAACTGATTTAAGTTGATTATACAGTGAGCTGGCAAACACTGTGAGTGTAGAAAATATATAGTAATTAATGAAAAAAATATTAAACACACAATAATCATTTATATATAATAATTTACTACAATATTTTACACTTTATACATTGCATGGTAAGACACATGAGTGACTTAATACCATATAGAGTTCTTATGAGGTTCAAATTATTCACTATCTTCATCAAATGATAAATCCCCAAAATAATTTTGTATGTAATTGTTAACATGCCACCCATATAAATATAAATATTTTAACATATTATCACTAAAACATAAGTGATATATGGTTGTTAAGGTGTTCAAGGAGTAAAATGGGAGGGGTTCAAATCCCCTTTGTGTTTTTTTTTTCCTCCCTTTTTTCCTTTTTTTCCTTTTTTTTTCTTCTTCTTTTTCAATTGTTTTTTTCCTTTACATCGATATTTTCGATATTTTAGTGATATTATATCGATATTTCGACAAAATATTGCTGAAGTGTGAGCGAAATTATCGACATCGATATTTTCTGATATTATTGTCAATATTATCGATATTTATATGATATGTACATGGATATGTTCCCAAAAAACCAAAATATCTCGATATTTCATCGATATTATCAATATTTCAGACTATGGCTACAACCATATGCTCCTTTTAAAAACATATTATATGGCTCTCGACAGATACATGCTGCCACCACTAAAATTAGAGACAAATCCACACATGAGTTTGCCGACCTTAAAACCTATAAATGAAGAACTTGGCCTCCTCCTCCATGTGAAGACATGGGCTTGGACCCCACACCCATATTCCTTCACATGACACACTTTCCTCACCCCATCCCTTATAAATACCATACTCCTCCCTCCATGACTAACTAAAAAGAAAAGGAGAAGGAAAAAGAAGAGAGAAGCATTCAATTTCAATGGGTTCTCATCAGTTTTTTCCAACCTTTCTGTTCTCTCTCTGTATTCTTCAATCCATTTCAGGTATAATGACACAAACGCAATGAGACCCATAAACCCATTCTCTGTTTCTTTTTTCTTTTTTTTCACTCTCGAACATTTCTATAACGCTAGCTCATGCATTTTATGTGTTTGTGGAATCACAGGTGGGAATTCAGCGACGTTCACAATTACAAACAAGTGCAGCAACACAATTTGGCCGGGCATTCTATCAAATGCCGGGACGGACCAGCTTCCAACCACCGGCTTCGCTCTCAACTCCGGGGAGTCCAACACCTTCTCCGTTCCTACCTCCTGGTCGGGTCGGTTATGGGGGCGGACTCTATGCTCCCAAGACCCGACCACGGACAAGTTCACTTGCCTAACCGGTGACTGTGGATCATCTGCGGTCGAATGCGCCGGTGGTGGGGCCGCCCCGCCAGCGACTCTAGCCGAATTCACTCTGAACGGGGCTGGCGGGCTAGACTTCTATGACGTCAGCTTCGTCGACGGTTATAACCTCCCCATGACGGTGGTGCCTGAGGGTGGGACCGGAGGGAACTGCACGACCACCGGGTGCGGGGTGGACTTGAACGCCGGGTGTCCGTCGGAGCTCAAGGTGACGGCGAGTGACGAGGGCGTGGCGTGTAAAAGCGCCTGTGAGGCGTTTGGGGACCCACAGTACTGTTGTAGTGGGGCCTACGCGACTCCAGACACATGTAAACCCAGTTCTTATTCGCAGTTTTTTAAGAATGCGTGCCCGAAAGCTTACAGCTATGCTTATGATGACGGCACCAGCACCTTCACTTGCGCCTCCGCCAATTATCTCATCACTTTCTGCCCTTCCCCTTCCACCAGGTACCGTCTTCACTCTTCTTTTATTTCTTTTGGTTCTTGTGACATTCACATCCAAATTTATCTAATATTTGTAGATTTTAGGTAGCAATCAGTCTAGACATTCCACTAAATTGGTTTTCCAAAATTGATCTGGTGACTGTAATATCGCGTGACATGTTATTAATATATGAGAACACGAATTATACCGCCACTTGATGTTACTGTCATATTATAGCTGGCAAAACGGTATTTTGCCCAAAATAGAGAAAATGTTTTGGATTTTATTCATATGGGTCGGTTGGGATTCGACCATTTTTTTGGATTGTCAACTTAATAAGATATGGTTGTCACGTCTTGGATTAATAATTGACATGCATGATGCACCGGCCTTACTTTATGGCCTGCAGTGCAAGCATTATGTTATATATTTATTAAATATTACAAATTCGGGCTGCCATTTCTGATTTCTCGTGTGAAATATTGGTGGCGGGTGCAGTTTGAAGTCGTCAAATGGGCAATACCCAGTGGCGGCCGGTGTCTCAGCAAGTTCACGTAATACGACACCGAGCTTCGTCGTTTTTGGCGTCATTGTTTTGGCGGCAGCTTGGCGGTTGCGCCAACTATTTTGATCCATTCCGCAGTTTCCACACCCCGAAAAAGAAAAATATCGTCTGAGAGAGAGATGTTGTTGACCTTTTTAGTAGAGTTCACTGTTGAGACTGCGTGGTGGGCCCAGATTTTTGGTCCGACGTTGGAGCCGTGGAGCCCACAATCCCCTCGGAGATTGCAACTTGTATCGGGGTTTACCATACGGCGTCGTAGCAAAGCTATGGCCCATTCAAATTGGAAGAACAACTTTGTGCGCAACTTTAGTGATACATACAAACACATACACTCCATGATCCACGTCCTTAGAATTTAAAGGACAAATTAAGAGCGTTAGTTTAGCTGACATGCCCTAATCTCTTTCTTGATTGTGATGTAAATATTATATAATGTATGGTAGAGACTAGAGAGAGAGAGAGTAGCTAGAATAATTTAGCTGGAACTGTAGTTGTTTTGCAACTAAATCCAACAAGATGGGTTTAGTTTTTAGTATATGGTATTTGAGCTGAGTTGGTATTTTATCATTTTTCTTTTGTCTCTCCTCCTGGTTTAGATTTATTTATTACAAGATGGCAAGATTCTATAAATTATTGGCTCTTAATTCGTTGTCATTAGCACTAAACTAAGTGTGATTTGTGGTGCGACATGCCTCATGCCTGTTTTTGCCTGCTACTATTGAGGACCTCCCCACTGTTTTTGTCAACCTGCTAGGGAGTGGATTTGAGCTTCTTTGAGTCTGCTAATGGGGACTAGATTGGAGGTTTTTCTGCTAAAATACTTCATCAACAAATCAACTCTATAATTAGGGTAACAAATCAACTTTATCCCTTTTGAATTAGTGGGATGAAATTGAATTAATGCATTGCATCGTGCTAGAGGACCCAGAGTTCTTTTTCTTTTTACTTTCTTTTTAAATAATTTTTTTAATAAAGATTTTCTACTTACTTACCAAGCCATTTATTTTTCTAACTTAATTAAAAAGTGCTTTTATTCTTTTTTTTTTTAAAGGGGAAAATATTACGATTAATTAGAGCCACCAATCTGCTATAGTCCTTGGGTCTTGGCTAGATTGTGAAGGAACCACACACATTTTTTTTGCGGCTTTTTTCCACATTTTTTCTGGTGGATAAAAAGGTTGATCAGTTAAGTAGCTTTAACACCTAGACATTACAATGCTGCTTGCATGGAAAGGAAAGCTATATCCAACTTGGCTGTGCTTTTTTTTTTTTTTTTTTTCCATTTCTCGTATCCTATTCATTCAGTTTTTCTTTAAAAATACTTTATTTCCACAAATAGTTGCAGGATATAAGCTGCTGCTGTAAAGCTTTAATTAATTTTTTTTGTAGCTACTTTCCCAACTTTCCTTTTTGTGATAAAAGAATTCCAGCAACACCAAAATTAGGGCAAACAAGTTTCTTTTTACTTGTGATCACACCCACATATATTGTTTCGGTGGGCATTTTGAATTGGAGCTTTCATTTGAAAACACTATATAATTTACGTTGATTTCATATCCTTATGCACTAACACCACAGATAACAATGCATAAAATTTATAAGGTGGGCATTTTGAATTGGACCTTTCGTTTGAAAACACTATGTAGTTTACGTTGACTTCATATCCCTATGCACTAACACTACAGACAACAACGCATAAAATTTGTAAGGCAAGTAAGACGTGCAAATTTTGGACAAACCGTCCATGGGAAAGAAAGATCAAAAAGATGTATTCCAAGTTTTGGTTTCGGATGTGACCCAAAAAAAAAAAAAATTCGTGTGGGTATGTTCAAGTATTTGATATTTTATTCAAAGTATTTGAAAACTCAAATTTGGCTGCCTTTACGCAAAGCATCTCTTTATCTGTTGTTGAAAACAAAAATCTGTCATTTTCTAATGTGCATTTATGTGGTGTAATGTTGAACTTTAGCGATAGAAACTCAATTGATTCACACTTGATTTTCTAAGATTTGCTCATATTCATCCAACAGAATCACTTTCATTCTGACTAAGAGGACTTTAACGGAAGCAAAAGACGTTGAACATTTTGGTGGCTGCGATGGGAAAAGAACCAACTTTTGAAAAGTCAATTTTATTCTTGCTCAGGTCTAAAAGCTTGAACAATTTCTTGGGCTCGTGAGCATTCAATCTTAGCGGACTTTGGCTCAGAGGGCTGCCAAAACTGTCAAAAGGGACCTACAAATTTGCTAAATTTAAACGTCGTCTTCAATCTAGCATAACTCTGTACTAAATCGGACAACTATTAAGAAACTCTCACTATAACCTCTGTCATATCAAGAGAATCAAGTTTTCCATGCAATTTCTCCCTTAGAGCACATGCAATGGTTAGAATCAATGCAATTTTATTGCATGAAATTGAAGTAAAACTGTAAGATATCACTTGCAATGGTGTGATTTAGTTCATTGCAATAGAAGGTGCTACGTGATGAACCCTCTACTACAATTACAATAGACTAATCATGAGACCCATATACAATAATAAATAGAAAAAAATACAGCAATTAATGCATTATGTTGTAAAGAGCATCCGTAATGGTTGTTCATATAGTTCAATGCAATATAAAAAATAAATTTTTTTTTTTTTTTTTACAAATATATTTAAAATTGGTCTCTTTTTAAAGATATCTTTGAGAATATTTCAATAGTACAATTTTTTTTGTGTTATTAAATTTATCATTTTTATTTTACTTGAGTATGTAAAAAAAACATGTAAGTAAATATAACTATTGATATAAAGCTATTGAATTGTACCATTGTAAGTAAAACTACAGTTCAATTTAATAGATGCCAAAATAGATCAACTTATTGAACTATTGAACAAATATTACGGATGCTCTTAAGCCTTCAATTCAAGACGCCTTCTCCCAAACTTTTGTACTACTTTTATGGTGATTATGGCTTTTGAAAACTCATATAATAGCTACGAATTGTTGGATGAAACCTATGTATTTCTTCATGATAGGATATGGTCATCAACTAGGAATTTTTAATTGCTTGACAAGCTATACATATTTATTTTTATGAGTTGTGAACAACTAAACCTAATAACAAAGTTACAAAATATACATAGGAATTCAAAAAGAAAAAAAAGAAAAAGAAAAAGAAAAACACTTTTAATAACCATATCTTGATAAGCAAAACCAAAACTACTCTTTACAACCTATTGCCTCCTAGCTCCATTCCTTCATTTGACCCCATGCAAACTTGTATCGTTTATATTACTTTTTCTTATATCGCAAAATGCATCTTATTATTCTGCATAGATATCCTTATCGTGTCTGTCTGATTATGCCAACTTTAGTGTAATATCCCCCCTTTTCCCCTTTTCACCATTAATTATTCATAATACCATCCTTTTCCCTTCAAAATTACAATTACAAAAGCAAGTTTAATTATAGAGTGAAATTAAGGCTTAAAAAACAAAGGATTCCCGATTGCATAAACTTTTTTTCTTTCTTTTAAAGAAGGGTTTTTTTAGTATCAAAAGTGGTATGGTGGGTTGGGTGACGTACTTCTCTTTATACTAAAGGAAAAAGGAGTGCTGAAACCAAAAACAAAACAAGAGGATGATCGATGGATCGATGATGATGCTGATGAAAAAGAAAAAGCTAAAAATCTTATCCGCACATGTACTTTCCACGGCATATAACTTATCACTTGAGAGGCTTAAAGATATTTTGTGAAAATAAAAAAAAACTTCAGAGGTGTGTTAGCATGTATAAATAACTCGAAAATTCTTTAAGACTTAAGAGGGTGTTCGTGTAATTTTTGGAACCTCGAGAATGTTGTGAAAACACCGAAAACCTCATGGGGTGAGTATAAATACAGTTCATTTTAGATATAAAATCTTTATTTCCATATAGTTCATTGCTTCATATATTGATATTTGTTGACATTCTTGTATTTCTAAATTCAAGATATGGCCTCACCCTGCACCCTCCAAACCAACAAAGAATGATGAGGTTCCAGGCTATGAGCCATGAGATATGTGAAAAGACGACGACCCTCGAACTTAGTGGGAAGCGCATCAAGGAATATGAAACTGAGCTTGAATAGCAGCGGGGAGAGCTGCAGAACCTGAGAAACAGCCAAAGCACTGCATTGATGGAGGTTGATCGTCTTAAGCAAGAACTGGTGGATGATGTACGCAATAGGGACGAAGAGTATCAAGCCAACACCAAACAAATCAGGGTCGAGATGGCCAGGCAATTCAGATAGGATTAGGTTCAAGGTCAACAGCTCCATAAACACCGGTTTGTAGGGGATCCAGATGACTATGATGATGAGTTGGGATTTGATCCCGCTGGTTATTTTCAGGGTATGCATCCTGGTTATGAACTATTCTAGGTGCCTAACATGTTGGGATTTTTCTTGGCTCTTGAAACGGGATCAAATCCCAACTCATCGTCATAGTCATCTGGATCCCCTCACAAACCGGTACTCAGGGAGTTGTTGACCTTGAACCCAACCGTATCTGAATTGCCTGGCCATCTCGACCTTGATCTGCTTGGTGTTGGCTTGATACTCATCGTCCCTATTGCGTGCAGCATCCACTAGTTCTTGCTTAAGGCTATCAACCTCCACCAATGCAGTGCTTTGGTTGCTTCTCAGGTTTTGCAGCTCTCCCCGCTGCTGTTCAAGCTTAGTTACACATTCCTTGATGCGCTTCCCACTAAGTTTGAGGGTCGCCGTCTTTTCTCATATCTCACGGCTCATAGCCTGGAACCTCGCCATTTGCGCGTTGCGAATTCCAACCATCTGTAAGAAATAAGAAAGTAAGCATTAGGCAGGCAGCTATGCTATGACATTACAAGCGAATGACACGGGCACAAATCCTAAACGTTATCGTACTGCACTCAAGCACTGTGATTGGTAGCCCCACATATGTTAATCATTCATATCCGTGAAGTCGTTCTCACTTAGTGAGCTAGCGAGAGTGGGAGCACGAGGGACTTGTTGAGGTTGGGACGGAGTACTCGAGGCGGATGCGACGTTGGGTGAACCCAAACCCAAAACGACATGTGGAGTATGACGAGACTTCTTTGCAGCCCCTGAGGGCTCGGTCTCCATTTCCTACGGCTCGGGACCGATAATGAACGTGCTAAGTTAACTCAGCCTCACTTTCTTGAAAACTGGCCTAGATAAGAGACGTTGAATCCTCATTACAACAAAGCTCGACCTCGATGGAGCAAATGTCCTTGAACAAGTCTATTCCGTACAAGTTTGAGTCAACCAAAATAAACGGGAAGTAAGTCGTTGTATGACGAGCAGTGGAAAGACGGATGAGAGTCGCAGGGTCGACGAAGCGTATGATATCCCACTTCTGACCTACCAAGTTCTCCTCCAACCAAGCGATCCGGTCTTTAGGAATGAGGTACCTTTTGTCTGAAGGAAGTATTGCTAAAAGAAAAGGTTAGTTAGACCCGTAAAAACACAATAAGTTATAGTTCAAAGGCATGAATCATTATACCAGGTTTTGAGCCAAACACTGATGAGACAGACATGTTAAACATCTTATGCGCCGCCCACTCCTCAGTGATCAAGAGAGGTTGGTTTTTCCAATACTTGGTGGAAGTGGGCTTACAAGTAAATATCTTTTTACCATACCTAGGAGTAAAAAGGAAATAGTGACTTTCCCCCCTAACACAAGCTAAATCGTGGAGGTAGATGAAATCCTTGAAGCTAAGGGACACATCCCACTTCAACCTGACAGCTAGAAAACTAAATATGATAAAGTAAGAATTTGGGTTTAGTTGCATGAGGTGAAGGTCCAAGAAAAATAAGAGCATGTGAAAAAGGGGATGGAGTGGAAACCTAACATACTTTAAGTGAGCCGATGAAAGAATTAAGAAGCCCCGAGGGATACCGGCACCAGTGTACATATCCGATCCCAAAGGAAGAAGATCAATCCCCACGTTATTGGGAACACATCCTTTAATGCGAGCCTTAAGTATCTCATAGCTCGATGGGACACCACCAGATTTGGGCCAACTCTCATGCCTTGACATGAAAATAGTAAAGATAAAAATAATACTTACTGGGTCGTAGCAAGAACAAGAAACTTTCGGCAGAGTTTTCAAATGCACAGAACATTTTCCTCTCTTTTCACGCCTAGATCTTATATGAAGAATAAAAGCAAAGTATGAACGGTTTTACAAATGAAATGTATCTCTATCGACCGACCTTTTATAGCAGATGGTGTGAGCATTAGAGAAAAATAATTCACAAAAGTCATAGGGAGAAATTTTTTTTTTTTTTCAAAAGCAAAGATAAGGCTTGATACGGCCGACTCAGATATTCACCTTAGGCTATGGCAACAAAGCTTGGACTGATATGGCCAGTTGAGGTTATCTCTACCCAATGCATGCTTTTCCCTGACAGAAAGTTGCATGCACTTCCACAAAAGCAATAGGTATAAGCAATAAGTGGTGCAAGGTAATGAGTACACCTACGGAGCTAGACTTGTTTACTTTCTCAAACAAAAAAAGTCATACACCGCCTAGATCAGTTGAGAAACCGAAGGCACATGGGGCTAGAAGGACATCTCAAGGGTATTGGGGTCCGCAAGGTTAGCTCAAGCGCAAGCGCCAAAAAAAAAAGTCATGGACCACCTGGATCAGTTGAGAAACTAAAGGCGCATGGGTCCAGAAAGACAGCTCAGGGGTATTGGGGTCCACAAGGTTAGCTCAAGCGTAAGCAAAAAAAAAAAAGAACAAAAAAAGAGCATGGATCGCTTGGATTAGTTGAGAAACCGAAGGCGTATGGGTCCGGAAGGATAGCTCAGGGGTATTGGGTCTGCAAGGTTAGCTCAAACGCAAGTGAAAAAAAAGAAAAAAGAAGAAGTCATGGACACTTGGGATCAGCTGAGAAACCGAAGACGCATAGGTCTGGAAGGACAGCTAAAGGGCATTAGAAGATCAGCTCAAATGCAAGTGCATCCTAGCTGAGGTCTATTTGGGATCAGTTAGTAAAAAGAAAGCAAAGAGCATGGGGCCCACTGGATCGGCTAAAGCCTAAAGCCAAGCGCACCCTAACTGGGGTTTATCTGGGATTGGTTAGCAAAGAGAAAGCAAAGAGCATGGGGCCCACCGAATTGGCTAAAGCATAAAACCAAGCGCACCCCAACTGGGGTCCATTTGAGATCTGTTAGTAAAGAGAAAGAAATTTGCATGAGCCCACCGGATCGGCAGAGGTGCAAAAGTCCAAAATAAAGTGAAAGGGTCCACTAGCGCATGGGATTGGCTGTCTGTACCTAGATATTTCACATGGGGCTAAAAGTCCATAGTTGAAACTTGAAAAGTCAGCAACGTGCATGAAAAATTCGCACATGGATGTTTCACATGCGGGAGATGAAAGCAAGGATACACATGTATGAAAGGTCAACAATATGCATTGGTTGGCAATGGTCCAACAAGAATTATATTTTTGGGTTTAACCAACAAGCCTAAGAAAGAAAATGAACTGTTTATTTGGGCTCAACCATGAGCCCATCATGACATCATGAGTTCAATCCGAAGAAATCCTGCTTCAAAGTCCCACTTAAATCGTTTTTCCCTCTCCACCCACGAAACGTGTAGAGAGGAAAAAAGGGAGGCACTGTGGGGACCAAATCTCACGTGTCATGGCTTAACCCATATGACATGATTAAAAGATGTGGGATGATAGAACTTCCTTCCTACTAGAGAAGTACGGAGCGAGGGAGACAAAACCCAGTCATCTAACCCCATTACCATGAAGTGGAGGATGAGATGTGCAAAGCTGGGGAAGTGGGGCTAAACCCAAGAACTTGAAGTCCTATAAAAACTCAGCTAGACCTCCAGCAGAGATACGAGAAATTCAATAAAACACTAAAAGTCCGCTACACAAACACTGACTTGAGCTTCATAGTGGTTTTTGCAGGTACTCACCCCGTTTCCACCTTTATTCTTCGAGAATGCAATCCAGAGTTCTCTTTCAACCAAAGAAGCGTGTGAACTTCAGTCAAAAACCTGTGAAGGTATTTCTTCTTGAAAGAAATCTTGCTCCAACAATGCGGTAGAATTTTCATTGTCTCAAAATCGGCTTACAAGGAAAGGGTGTTAATGTACTCATATACTACTACTATATTATTCTAAAAATATCTAGGCCATGCGGGAATCAATACTAACACTCCCCTTCAAACCCAAGGCCAGTCACTAAATTGGCTCTCTAGTTTGGCTAGAGATATTGGATAAACTCTTCTCTAAGGCACTAATCAAAAAACTTCTTCTTTTTTTTTAATGAAGAAAAGTTTAAGGAGAGATTGACTACTCTTACCACCAATGCTAGGGCATACCCACAACCTCAAGCTGGAAAGACTTACGCGTGACATCCAATTGCTAATTGTCATCGGTATGGATTTATGTAGGAAATTACAGATTGCGCACCAATGAGGACTACTAGCAGCAAGACTCGAACACTGAACTAATCCTCATTGGTTTAATCCAAAAAACTTAAGTTGTGAGAGAATAATTAAATAATGTACGTCAAATTCAGGCTAGTGTTTACTTATAAAATTTTGAGAATGGAATATGAGAATTCGAAAGGGAAGTAAAGCTGAGTTAAAGAAGAAGGGAAGAAATTTTGACATAAAAGGAAATTTTGATGAGTTACTCAAATTACATAGAGTCATGTATTCAACAATTTTCACTTTCTTATTTTTTTGACCATAGTCGCATTTGGCGTTTAGCACACATCAACCCAAATTACAGTCAGAAAACAACTTAAGGGTGGACAATTTGCACACAAAGTCCAAATTACGTATTTATTTTTTTAAAAATGAAGGTCGAAAAGTATGCATTTGAGTCATCTCCTGCTATAAACTAGGTCTAAAATAAACCAAAATAGAAAGTAGATAGATAGATAGGGTGTAGCCTTAATTAGGTAGACTCTATCTGCATAACCCTTTTTTTTCACTTTAGATTTGAAAAGGCTTATCTTTCAATATATATAAGATGGCATTGCCCCTTTAGAAAGCTAGACATTGTTGCCCCACTGAAAAGCTAAAAACAAGACTCAAACAAAAAGATTGAATGAAACGAGCAACGAACTTGGATACAAGCGGGCACGCCATCCTTTTCCCATAAGGTTCTGCAATTTCCCAGTCATGCGGATTGTTGGCTTCATCAATTTCCCAGTCAGATATATATCATATCGTACATGTGTTGGGTCCATAAATTTCAAATGGGAAGTGAAGCACTGTTTCAATTTCATAATTTATAATCAAGACAATTTAGAGGCTATGTTGCACGGACACATCACAAAGCCCAAGTGTCGGAGTGTCAGACACTCGCACACTTGTATCCAACGCGGAGGATACAAAATGACAAAATTACACAAACATAAAGAGTGACAATTTTACTCACTTGATCAACTAGAGCAACTATATAACTGAAACCGTAAAACCAATAAAGAGTGACAATCTAACTTTTGGCCGACACCACACACCAATATCATTCTCACGATAACTTTCTTCTCGAGCAAGGTTTCCGGATTGAGAAAAGCTTTTCAAGCACATGAAAACCAACTAACCAACCACCACAATTGGCCGCATGATATAAAGCTCCCGCATTAAGACCATGTGACTTGCCTCCTAATTTGAGGCAACGTTGGCTTCCCCGTCATGCAATGACGGCACCGTAAACCGCCTCTAAACCAAATCCCCGCCGTGTTACGGGGGTTCTTAGCCTCCTAGACACAGGTCATTTTGCATGTGATTTTGCTTTTTTAATTACTTCAGTGACATGAGAATCTTCTGTGAGCAAATTGAAACCGCACTAATATGAGTGGACACGTGGTGCCTCGTAGTGCATTTGACTCCAATGATATTCTCCCACGTGCCCTCCCACACGACTTTTCCATGGTATTCTCTTCATCTTAATAATAATTATCATTTATCACTATAGGTTTGTTTATTTTTGTTCTTGTTGGGTTTCTAGAAGAAGACAATTATTTCATAACAGACATAAAAATAGAAGAGAAAAGAAATATTTTTTTAATTCTACCAGGAAAAAAAAATTAAAAAATTAAAATCATGCTCAAACAAACTCATGGTGATGGGATAAAACTAAATAACTGTATTAGTAAAAAGAATTAGACAAGTGTCAAAAAGAAAGGTGGCTGCTGCCACTCGAGCAGGTTCCAGCTGATTTCCATATAAAAGGACATCTTTACCCAACAAGTGTGATGTTGTTTAGTGATTTCACAACACTAAGCTCGAACTTAATTGGCAGGTGATATTTTTACAGAGCAAAAGTGCTTCCCCATGACAGTGAGGCGGTGGTGATACAGACACTCCCATTGCTATCTTGATCCTCCTTGTTTCTACAATTCTCTACAAATAGAGCCTCACAGCTGATGGTTAAGATTCTCCCACCACTCCCTCAACCTTTTCCTTCTTCCTTCTCTCCCTCTCCTTTTCTCTCACACTGATCCTTTGCCATTTGCAGAGTGTCTGTGTGAGAGAATTATACACCATTCTCTGCTCTCTCTCTCTCTCTCTCTCTCTCTGGCATTTTTGATTTATCAAAGATAAAGGCCCTGCCTTTCTATCCTTCTTCTCTCCTGGATTGGAACCACCATCTCTAAACAATCTAAATTCACCAAATTAAACACACACAAAAGTCCTAATGGGTACTCAATTTTCCTATTGCATCACCCTCCTCCTTCTCATCATTGCCAAAGGTAAAAATCCAAAATTGCAACAATTAAACCAATTTCAACACTTGGGTTCCTCTCACATTTTCATAACTCAATCAAAATATTCATAATTTGACCATATATATATATATATGTTTATGTTTTCTGTGGTTTTGGTTTGCAGGGGTCACCGGAGCCACATTCACATTCACAAACAAGTGTGACTTCACAGTATGGCCAGGAATTCTAGCCAGCGCAGGCAGCCCCAAGCTGGACAGCACCGGCTTCGAGCTCGCCAAAGGCAGCTCCCGCTCCTTCCAAGCCCCGACAG